TGCACTGAGACACACACACATGCACTGAGACACACAGACACACACATGCAGAGACACACAGACACACACACATGCACTGAGACACACACATGCACTGTGACACAGACACACACATGCACTTAGACACACACATGCACTGAGAGACACACACATGCACTGAGACACACACAGACACACACATGCACTGAGACACACACATGCACTGAGAGACACACACATGCACTGAGACACACACACGTACAAACACACATGCACTAACACACACATGCACTGAGACACACACAGACACACACACATGCACTGAGAGACACACACATGCACTGAGACACACACACATGCACTGAGACACACAGACACACACATGCAGAGACACACAGACACACACACATGCACTGAGACACACACATGCACTGTGACACAGACACACACATGCACTTAGACACACACATGCACTGAGAGACACACACATGCACTGAGACACACACAGACACACACATGCACTGAGACACACACATGCACTGAGAGACACACACATGCACTGAGACACACACATGCACTGAGAGACACACACATGCACACGGATGCACACATCCACTGAGACACACACCTCCTCCACCCTCTTATCCCCCCCTCCCTCTCTTCCTCCTCCTCCTCCTCTTCCTTCTCCTTCCTCTCCACCTTCTCCCTCTCTTGGCCAACATCCTCCTCCACCCTCATATCCACCCCCACCCTTTCCTCCTCCACCTCTTCCTCTTCCTCCTTCTCCCAGTCAGAACCCCCTCTCCTCCTCCTCTTCCTCCTCCTTCTCCTCCTTCCTCTCCCCCTTCTCCCTCTCTTGGCCACCATCCTCCTCCACTCTCTAATCCCCCCTCCCTCTCCTCCTCCTCAACCTCCTCACCCCTCTCCACCTCCTCCTCCTTCTCCTAGTCACAACACCCCTCTCCTCCTCCTCCTCCTCACCCCTCTTCCACCTCCTTCTACAAAACTAAAACCATTGCATGTGATGAATCAAAAAGAAATGACAGTTTTGAAAAACTTCAGGTGGTTTGGAGATTTATTAATGTTTTTTTGAGAATGTTGACCCAAAACAACTGAAAACACTGTAAAAACACATTACTAAATATTCTACATTTTTAAATAATTAAAAAGTGTTTCACAGTGAACTGTAATGTGCAGGGGTTTGTTGTTATACGGTTCATCTCTGACTGCTCTGGAACTAAAACCACAGATATTTTCTCTCAATGGTTTCAGCGACACAAATCTCTGCCTCTGATGATTTTGATTCTCTTATTCTAAACTCGTACTCGTATTAAATGTCGTATAATAAACTTTCTTGTTTGCAGACAGTACAGAGGACGGAGGAAAGCATGGTTTGAGGGCTCGGCTCTTTGGGAACACTGACAGAACAATCGCGTAGACGCTGCTCAAACGGACGAGGCAGACACACAACAACAAAAACACTTCCATTCAGGAGTTACATAATCTGACTCATATGGACAACGGCGGATGATACAAGACTGAGATTAAGAGAGTATTGATTATTACTGTATTCATCCCACAGGGGAATAAGGAGCACACAACACAATGTAAAGGGGATGTTAGGAATAGTCAAAACAAGTGCAAAATGGGCCGGACCCAATTTCATGTGGTTCATTTTTAATATCATTTTGCAAAATATGCAATTCATTGCAACAAATATTTGTATTTTTTTCTCAAGAAAAGAACAATATTATAGAATTCAATCTAAAATATGAATATTCAATATGTTGAATAGAGAAATCATTGATATCAGTACAATTACAAGCTTTCTTCACTTTTGGTCCAGTTTTGGTTCAATCCAAACAAACTAGTCTCTCTCTGGTCTCTCTCTTTCTGGTCTCTTGCTGGTATCTCGCTGGTCTCTTTCTGGGTCTCTCTCTGGTGTCTCTCTGGTGTCTCTCTGGGTCTCTCTCTGGTCCCTCTCTCTGGTCTCTCTCTCTGGTCTCTCTCTCTGGTCTCTCTTTCTGGTCTCTCTCTGGTCTCACTCTCTGGTCTCTCTCTCTGGTCTCTCTCTCTGGTCTCTCTCTCTGGTCTCTCTCTCTGGTCTCTCTCTCTGGTCTTTCTCCGGTCTCTCTCTCTGGTCTCTCTCTGGTCTCTCTCTCTGGTCTCTCTCTCTGGTCTCTCTCTGGTCTCTCTTTCTGGTCTCTCTCTCTGGTCTCTCTCTCTGGTCTCTCTCTCTGGTCTCTCTCTCTGGTCTCTCTCTCTGGTCTCTCTCTCTGGTCTCTCTCTCTGGTCTCTCTCTGGTCTCTCTCTGGTCTCTCTCTCTGGTCTCTCTCTCTGGTCTCTCTCTCTGGTCTCTCTCTCTGGTCTCTCTCTCTGGTCTCTCTCTCTGGTCTCTCTCTGGTGTCTCTCTCTGGTCTCTCTCTCTGGTCTCTCTCTCTGGTCTCTCTCTGGTCTCTCTCTCTGGTCTCTCTCTGGTGTCTCTCTCTGGTGTCTCTCTCTGGTGTCTCTCTCTGGTGTCTCTCTGGTCTCTCTCTCTGGTCTCTCTCTGGTGTCTCTCTCTGGTGTCTCTCTCTGGTGTCTCTCTCTGGTCTCTCTCTGGTGTCTCTCTCTGGTGTCTCTCTGGTCTCTCTCTCTGGTCTCTCTCTGGTGTCTCTCTCTGGTGTCTCTCTCTGGTGTCTCTCTCTGGTCTCTCTCTGGTGTCTCTCTCTGGTGTCTCTCTCTGGTGTCTCTCTCTGGTGTCTCTCTGGTCTGCTTTATGTTTTGCACTAAAGTGACAGCCAGGCCATGTTAGCACATATAAAGTTACAAGCCTTCATTATCAGTAGAATGAGTATTGAGCTGGGAGGGAGTTTACTTTTCAATGTAAGTCAATAGGAGCCGGAGAGAGTTGGAACAAAGCTTTGTCCATGAGCACTTCCCTATTGGGCTTCACTGAGCTAGAAGGTTAGCATCGTCCATCTGTATACAGTCTATGGCACAACATCATCAGCTCTGGGGATCTGCAGCTGATCCAAGAGCTGGGTCAGCAGTGGCGTGCTTACAAAATAAAAATAAATACATCTATATAGGGGTGACAGTGGCTCAGTTGGTGATGTCTGATGTTGTTGTGTCCTTGGGCAAGACACTTAACCCCACTTTGCCTGAAGCCCCCACTGAAAGATCAAGGTTATGCAGTCACCGACAGAGCAGCCTCCTGTGGACTCAGCTCCTGCAGGAGGATCAGTGAGAGGCTGGTGCTCTGTGGACTGGGAGCAGCTCTGACTGCCACCCCCCGACCCAGAAATGGATTAATGGGAAGAAGATGGATGGATATATATTTTATTACTGCATATTGGGCGCTTGGGAGTTCACAGAGTTCACAGCTTATAGTCCAGCATGTATATATCTTTACACTATACATTTATTGATACTGAAGCATTGTACATTATACAGTATTGCAACACTGAAACTTCCCCACTATGGGACAAAAAAGGTTCTATTATCTTATCTTAAGTCCTGTAAATAACAACAGTGGCGGCACCTTCTCCCTCCTCAGATATATCGATTTTGTTTTGGTTTATTTTAGTACAAGGTTAATAATTAATGTGTGAAGAGCTTCTCCGGGGAAAAGCGAGCACTGAACACATGATGTGGACACAGGCATTTTATATTTGTGTTAAAACTTTGGAGCAGCAACAAATCTGAAAGAGGCCACACTCTGTCGTTGTTACTGCTTTATATGGAGCATCCCCCTGTTCAGACTGTTGTATCCATCTGTAGGTACACACCCTTAGACCAGGGCTGACCTTTTGGTCAGAGGACACATTTTAAAAGTAATAGTTTGAAAGTATAAACACTTTTCCATGTATTATTGTATTAGTTACATTACAAAGGAAGGTAACAAAGTTATTAATAGTCATTAGTATTTAACATAGAAAGAAAGAGAGAGAGAGAGAGAGAGAGACCAGAGAGACACCAGAGAGACACCAGAGAGAGAGACACTCAAAAGGTACCAGAGAAATACCAGAGGGAGACCAGAGAGACCAGAGAGAGAGAGACTCAAAAGGGACCAGAGAGATCAGAGAAATACCAGAGAGAGAGACCAAAATGTCTTTGTGCAGAAATGTACAGACTCTAAGATGTTCTGTATTTAATATGATGGACAAATATGTACATAAGTAGAGAACGAGCCTTAAAATGAGGTATAACATGCCATGGAAGCCATATTAACATATTACCATCAAAGTTAATTTTAATTGAAAATCAGTTCAGGGGCCACTAAAAGGATCCCAGTGATTGACACTAATTCAAATCCATGTTTTCACTTTTATCTATTTAACACCGTTTTTGTGACCAAAGCTAAGCAGGGCAGGGCCTGGTTAGTACTGTGATGGGAGACGTCTGGAAACACCAGGTGCCTGTCATTGTGTCCTTAGGCAAGACACTTCACCCACATTGCCTGGAATGAGTTTGAAGGGCTTTTGTCAGTGTGCCCCAGGGCAGCTGTGGCTACAGTAGTAGTTTCTCACCACCGTGTTTGAGCCGTCTCAAACCTTTCATACATTTCAGATTTTAATTCCAGATTGTGGTATTTCCATGGAATCAAAATGTTACATAATTCAATTCAATTCAATACTTTTTGGTTTAGCACTAAAACTCAACAGCAGCCGTCTCAGAGGACGAAGAAGGACAAAATAAAAATAAATTGAATTGAGAGCAACATGTAACTTTTTGATTTCATGGAAATAAAAGGTGAAAATCAGCTCACAAACTTAAATATTAGTTATTTATATTGAGGCGGGATATATATTAAAATTTCACTAATAAAAAAATAGAAAAACCTGATTCATATTATGTAATGCCCTGTGCGATTGTTTCTATCTTGTTTTGTTGTGCACTTTGAGTTTCCTTATGTATGAACCGTGCTATACAAAAAAACTTGCCTTACCAAGCCTAAAATGAAATGAAAAACTATTGAATACAACTTGTTCTGTCTGTCTGGGTTTCTGAGCCCCGGACTCCTGCAGGTCTCACTGTACCTGAGTTGGCGAGTAGAGACCCGTTGGACGCGGACCTCCTCAGGACCCTCAGACTCTCGCTCCAGGACTTGGACTTGGGGAGTCTTTTGAGCAGCCGCCCGAGCCGCTTGGACACCTGGCCGAAACACGCCGCGGTGCCCACCTCTCTGCCTCCCTCCGAGCCCTTGTACCGGCCCCCAAACCCGCCATGGTCCACCACCACCGCTGCCGTCCCGGACCCGATGGGAGCTGCTATCTCCATTGGCGCTCCATGGCTGTAGCCCCCCCACCCCTCCCCGTTGGGATACCCCTCACTGGCTCTGCGCCCCTGGGCTCGGAGCACTCTCTGCGGGCTGCTCCACCTCCGCCAGCCTCCATCCCAGCGCAGCCACTCACCCACGGGGGCCAGCCTGTCCCACTCCAGCAGGAAGGGTCCCGGGTGGTGCCTTTGGACGATGGAGTGCGCCGCTTACTCCCCCGTGTGTGTCTGTGTGTGTGTGTGTGTCTGTGTGTGTGTTTGTGTAGATGCTGTTTCTGTCTCGGAGAGCAGAGAGAGCAGAGCTGTGTTTTTGATCAATCAGACCTCATCCTCTCTCTCTCTCTTTCTCTGCAGCAGCAACACTCTGCAGCAGCCGCTTAAAGAGACAGTAGCACTAAAACTGTTTACGCTTTAATGAATCATAAACACTTCCACTCTTCACTGATAACAATGTGCTTTTAACTGTTTTTTAATGTTTAACTTTGTACTTTTTAAATGGCGATCATGAATACCTGTGATTTAGACTAAATCAAATCCATGTTTTCACTTCTATCTGTCTGACAAATGAAGCAAAGCAGGACAGGGCCTGGTTAGCACTGTGATGGGAGACCTATGGGAACACAAAGTGCCTCTCATTGTGTCCTGAGGCAAGACACTTCACCCACATTGTCTTGAATAAGTTTGAAGGACATGTGTGAATAGTTGGGGATGTCAGAGGGGCTGATGCCACAGACTGGTTGCCTTGCTTCTGTCAGTGTGCCCCAGGGCAGCTGTGGCTACAGTAGTAGTTTTTCACCACCGTCTTTGAGAGTCCAAAAAAGACCTATATAAAAACGATGCTTTTTTTTTAACTTAGTTCAGCAAAAGTATCCTTGAACACCTGGAAAAGTGCTGAATGAATAAAATGTATTATCAACATTATTAGTATTTAACATAGTAATTTTTCCTATATCATTTCTCACAAAGTGCATTTGGAAAGTGTTGTCATGATGTCACAACATTATTCCAAAATAAATGTTTTTCTTCATCAATCTACGCACTGAGGCTGCAGCTAATCCCTATTTTAGTATTCAAGTATTCTATTGATTACAGTGTTGGACCACAGCCACTACTTCTTACACGTTCTTTGGTTCTTGAGGCCTACACAGAGCTGCAGCCAGTGTGCGTATTTTGTGTTAGATTGCCTCCAGAGTTCAGGGGAATCCTTTAACAATATTTTAACTCTACATCAAGTAGTAGTTTGGATGGGAGCATGTTTATTGTCAAAATAGACTGGATTTACCACAGAGTGCTTTGAAAACCTTTGGAATCCAGTCGTCAACTTTGCATATATTTGTATATATTGATATTTGTGTTTGATTAAGACACAATATTCCAGATAATGTATCCGTGGTGTGGATGAAGCCCAGAACAGCTGAATCCATTCCAGACTGCAAAAAAGTTTGGACATCCCTGTTCTTCATTTTGTAATTACTGGACTGTGACTCATTATATTTTCTTAGTAATTTGAAACCTTTAGCTTCTATAGTGATGTGGCTAAAGTGTGTATTTTATGGAATGATTATTTTTCCAGTTTTAGCAGCTGTAGGACACTTGTTTATTGTCAAAACAGATGAAGGTGAAAGAGTGATGGAAGCTCACGGTGAAACTGTTAAAACCTTGTCATTAAATCATGTTGTGTCCAGTTAAAACAGCTGTATCTGTAACATGACAAACCTGCGCCTTATTTTCAAGTGCTGCTTGTATGTGTATGTTGATTGTACTGCTTGTATCTATTTATTTATCTAACATGGACATAACAATAACACTGGACGAACCAGATGCATTGCTGTAAGTGTTAAAACACGGTTGATAATTTCCAACACTAATCCACAGGAGGTTTTTACATAAGAATTACAATATAATTTACACGTGAGAACAAGTCTGTCTGGATGCTACAGGTGCATACAAGAGTTCAGAAAGTATGGTATGGATTTACCATTACAAGAAGGTAAAAAGCACTTTGTAGGACAGTGGTCTGAATCCTCTGAACCCCATGGTCCGGTCCCACTCAGACTCTGAACCCCATGGTCCGGTCCCACTCAGACTCTGAACACCATGGTCCGGTCCCATTCAGACTCTGAACACCATGGTCCGGTCCCACTCAGACTCTGAACCCTATGGTCCGGTCCCACTCAGACTCTGTCCCATGGTCCGGTCCCACTCAGACTCTGAACCCCATGGTCCGGTCCCACTCAGACTCTGAACCCCATGGTCCGGTCCCACTCAGACTCTGAACCCCATGGTCCGGTCCCACTCAGACTCTGAACCCCATGGTCCGGTCCCACTCAGACTCTGAACCCCATGGTCCGGTCCCACTCAGACTCTGAACACCATGGTCCGGTCCCACTCAGACTCTGAACACCATGGTCCGGTCCCACTCAGACTCTGAACACCATGGTCCGGTCCCACTCAGACTCTGAACCCTATGGTCCGGTCCCACTCAGACTTTGTCCCATGGTCCGGTCCCACTCAGACTCTGAACCCCATGGTCCGGTCCCACTCAGACTCTGAACACCATGGTCCGGTCCCACTCTGACTCTGAACCCTATGGTCCGGTCCCACTCAGACTCTGTCCCATGGTCCGGTCCCACTCAGACTCTGAACCCCATGGTCCGGTCCCACTCAGACTCTGTCCCATGGTCCGGTCCCACTCAGACTCTGAACCCCATGGTCCGGTCCCACTCAGACTCTGAACCCCATGGTCCGGTCCCACTCAGACTCTGTCCCATGGTCCGGTCCCACTCAGACTCTGAACCCCATGGTCCGGTCCCACTCAGACTCTGAACCCCATGGTCCGGTCCCACTCAGACTCTGTCCCATGGTCCGGTCCCACTCAGACTCTGCCCCATGGTCCTCAGACCCTGTACGACCTCTAACTGAGTCTTCTGAGTGCGTCTGGTCACTACAAAAGAACAGACTGTGCCGAGGGCGAAGAGTAATAAGTCCATTTAAAAGCGTGTTCCATCCTCATCTGTGACGTCAAACCTCCTCCTGTTCCACGGACAATGACACAGCAGCTTTCTCTGCAAAAATGTGGAAGACTTGTAAGAAGTATTCTCTCTTTAAACAAACCATAAAAGCAACAACAACAACAACTCCAGGACAAACTTGTATCGCTGACAACCAGGACAGCGATATTCGAGCGTTTAGAATTGTGATAACGATATTATTGCGATATTTTTGTCTTTCACCTAAATTGCAATCTGCATTGAAACGCAACAGAAAATAAGCACAACATTAATGACCTTCAAATGCATTTATTTATATACTTTTTTGTGTGTTGGTTCGTGTTGAATGTTGATGTGTCTGTTTGTTTTGTTGTCTTTAATTAAGGATTTCATTTATGGATGCAATTTAGCTGTTGTGCTAATTTGACGCTGTTTGCAGACACATTGATGAATATGTACTGTCCAAATTTCAAATAAATAAATACATGTATTTTTTATATTGCGCACATTGTTGATATGGTTCTCGCACGCACCAATATCGCAATAACACGATTTTTTTTATATATATCGTGCAGCCTTACTAACAACAAGTCCTGTCACTCAAATTCTTAATAGACATGATTTAGTTATTTTCTTATTGTAAAATGTATAAAATCTTTGAGAATATGAGACCTAAGATCTAATGTGCATAATGATCGACAAAAAAAACCGTATTATTTTCTTTGGACCCAGAAACAAGAGAGACATCACCTCCAGTCTCTCCCTAACCTCAACTGTACACACAATACTCTGTACACACAATACTCTGTACACACAATACTCTATCTTTTCACTTGTTAAACATTTCCTGTCTTTTTGCACCAGAGTGACCCTAATTATGCCAAATGTCACATGTATATTTCTCCACTGTGAGATCAACAAAGTTTTATCTTATCTTATCTTAAGACCCTGAATTTAGGTAGAAACTCTAGGGGTAAGAATAGACTCTGATAGATGACCAGCCACATTAAATCAGCAACAAAACCAGCTTTTTACCATCTGAAAAACATTGCCAGAATCAAAAATAAAATGTCTAGAACCTAAACCTCAGTCAGTTCAAAAGACAACGACACTAGGGCTGAAACAACTAATCGATTAATCGACGACTAATCGATTATTGAAATAGTCGACAACTATTTTAGTAATCGATTAATCGTTTTCTGGTTCACACGGACTCAAACAGAGCAAAACTGACATGAAAATGTAGAATTTTTGATTAAAACCAACTTTGTTTTTATAATTTCATGAATATCTGTCTGTCTCATCCAATCAGAGCAGAATTAGCACAAAGAGCCTGTTACAAACATTTACTTTAAGTTTACGCCATCAATACGTCCTCGAGTGTTGCCACTTTAGCTTTTTGTGATGAAAAAATATTTTTTTTCTACACAATTCACAATCAAGCGATTACTCGATTAATCGTAAAAATAATCGATAGATTAATCGATTACAAAAAAATCGTTTGTTGCAGCTCTAAACGACACAGCAACTTTCTCTCAAATGTGAAAGATTTGTATGAAGTATTAGCGCAGTCTACAGTCCATAACAACCACAACGACAAGAACAAGTGTAGAAGAAGAACATTATCTGTAGAAGAAGCAGAGAATCCCAGTTTCTGTTCCTCTCCTGACACTGATGAAGAGATTGTGTTCAGTGGAGATGACACACTTTGATACAGTCGAGTTCATATCCCGTTGCGTTCAGAAATCCAACCTGACTCTCTTCAACTCAGAGACCTGTTGGTGCTGCTGTTGGAAACTTATTAAAGGGGACGTATCGTGGCCTTTGTGAGCTTTGTACCATGTTATATTTGTTTTTCTGCACTTTAATCCACCCATAGCAGTTTCCTGATTCCTCAATCTCTCTCAAGGTCTTTTTCCAAATTTAAATTCCAGACTTTTTTTAAACTTAGATTTTTTTCCCAAGACCTTAACTTTGTGTGCCTACTGCCTACTTTGTTGGTTGAGATTGTACCAACTGTGTTTATTAGAAATGTTAATTTTTATAGGCTAGTAATCAATGAACAAATACATTATTCACAATGCCTTTGAGCGTCGTTCTGTAAAGTTCTACAATACATTTTTAAGACTTTCTCACAGAATTCAAGACTTTTCAAGGTCTGGAAAACAGTGTTTCAAAATTCCATACATATTAAGACTTTCAAGACTTGCACAAGCACCCTGTCTCTCCGGTCTCGCTCTCCGGTCTCGCTCTCCGGTCTCGCTCTGCGGTCTCGCTCTGCGGTCTCGCTCTGCGGTCTCGCTCTCCGGTCTCGCTCTGCGGTCTCGCTCTGCGGTCTCGCTCTCCGGTTTCGCTCTCCGGTCTCGCTCTCCGGTCTCGCTCTCCGGTCTCGCTCTCCGGTCTCGCTCTCCGGTCTCGCTCTCCTGTCTCGCTCTCCGGTCTCGCTCTCCTGTCTCGCTCTCCGGTCTCGCTCTCCGGTCTCGCTCTCCGGTCTCGCTCTCCGGTCTCGCTCTCCGGTCTCGTTCTCCGGTCTCGTTCTCCGGTCTCGCTCTGCGGGCTCACTCTGCGGGCTCACTCTCCGGTCTCACTCTCCGGTCTCGCACTCCGGTCTCCGGTCTCTCGCTCTCCGGTCTCACTCTCCGGTCTCGCACTCCGGTCTCGCACTCCGGTCTCCGGTCTCGCTCTCAGGTCTCGCTCTCCGGTCTCGCTCTCCGGTCTCGCTCTCCGGTCTCGCTCTCCGGTCTCGCTCTCCGGTCTCGCTCTCCGGTCTCGCTCTCCGGTCTCGCTCTCCGGTCTCGCTCTCCGGTCTCGCTCTCCGGTCTCGCTCTCCGGTCTCGCTCTCCGGTCTCGCTCTGCGGTCTCGCTCTGCGGTCTCGCTCTGCGGTCTCGCTCTGCGGTCTCGCTCTGCGGTCTCGCTCTGCGGTCTCGCTCTGCGGTCTCGCTCTGCGGTCTCACTCTCCGGTTTCGCTCTCCGGTCTCGCTCTCCGGTCTCGCTCTCCGGTCTCGTTCTCCAGTCTCGTTCTCCGGTCTCGCTCTGCGGGCTCACTCTGCGGGCTCACTCTCCGGTCTCTCTCTCCGGTCTCGCTCTCAGGTCTCACTCTCAGGTCTCACTCTCCGGTCTCGCACACCGGTCTCCGTTCTCGCACTCCGGTCTCCGGTCTTTCTCTCCGGTCTCGCTCTCAGGTCTCGCTCTCCGGTCTCGCTCTCCGGTCTCGCTCTCCGGTCTCGCTCTCCGGTCTCGCTCTCCGGTCTCGCTCTCCGGTCTCGCTCTCCGGTCTCGCTCTCCGGTCTCGCTCTCCGGTCTCGCTCTCCGGTCTCGCTCTCCGGTCTCGCTCTCCGGTCTCGCTCTCAGGTCTCACTCTCCGGTCTCGCACACCGGTCTCCGGTCTTGCACTCCGATCTTTCTCTCCGGTCTCGCTCTCTGGTCTCTCTTGTCTTCCCATAGTCTTCATTGTCCTCTACAGCTGTATTTTCCAGTGTATGCACGGCTTTTGACAGCTGCAGCAGCACAGACCTACAACCAACATGTTTGATATCTCTGGTCTCTCTCTCTTCAGCAGTCGTGAGTTCAGGTGGTTAAAAAGTGCATAAAGTGTGAGGAGTTTTACAGCCTTAAAACACAGAGCTACTTCTATAAGGATTTTACCTATTACAAGTTATTTTTAGAACGTAACCCCACAAAAAATTACACCTCTCTGCAAACAACATTTATGTGAAAGTGTATTTAGCCATTAAACTGGACTGCATTATACGGCATGTAGAACTCGTCCTTTCCTTCACACTTTCTCCTTTGTTTTCACTGAGCACAAGGACGACCTAAATATAGGTCTGCTGGTCCACACACACACACACACACACACACACACACACACACACACACGCAGCAGACACAGCACGGCCAGGGTTAAGAAACAGACACACACCAGAGGAAACACAATCATACACAACAAAGATCATATGTTTGTTGTGTAAAAGTGTAAAGGAAATGTTTAAACTCTAATAATCATAATAATAATGCATTGGATTAATACAGTGCCTTTTTGGACTCTCAAAGACTTATTCATTCTCTCCATACACAGATGTAATTAACTGCTACTATAGCCACAGCTGCCCTGGGGCACACTGACAGAAGCGAGGCAACCAGTGTGTGCCATCAGCCCCTCCCACCACCACCAACCATTCACACACACACCAGACTCATTCGAGGCCATGTGGGTGAAGTGTCTTGCTTCAGGACACAACAGCAGTTTGGCACTTCACAGCCGCAGCCTTGTGTATGAACTGCAGTGTTGTGCCAGTTCACAGCTTTTCTGAACTAGTTCAAGTTCAGTTCATACATGCTCAAAGTGAACAGTTCACGTTCGAAGTTCTCAATTTTAATTCTGAACTAGTTCAAAGTTCAGTTCATTTTACTTTTTGCGAGATATTCAAATAAAAACTTTTTTTCACTACGAGCTAGAAATCACAATACGTGGTATATATATATATATATATATTAGGGCTGTCAAACGATTACATTTTTTTAGTTGATTAATCGCATAGTAATAGTGAGTTAACTCACGATTAATCGCATGTTTAACATTCTATTTCAAATCCACTCCAATTGAAGTTAAATGAGATTATCAAATATAATTACCAGTATTGGGTAAATTACTTTGAAAAAGTAATTAGTTATAGTTACTTGGTACTTCTTCCAAAAAGTAATTGACTTACTGACTGAGTTACTCCACTATAAAAGTAACTAGTTACCAATAAAAGTAACTATTGCGTGGTACCGAGCTTCAGCTGGCTGTAATTTATAATTGCTGCAACAACCCCACCCTATTTTAGTATGATATGTTAGTTTAGGGAACTGTCCTGCAGGCAAACAGGTATAAGACAGGCCAAGGTGCCATTTAATTAAATTGCATTTATTTTTATCCATTGATCAAACAAACAGATTACAAAACTTGCAATTGAAAGAGACTATTTTAAAATAATTTGTTCCCAAAGACACACACGAGCAACACCCGCGCCTGACAGTCAAGAACCAGGGAGAATACAGTACGCAGAGCACGCCTGACAGACAAGAACCAGGGAAAATACAGTGCGCAGAGCGCTGAGTATGTGAACGGAGCAATCGCTTGCTGCTGTTATTATAATAGCTAGATCCATGCTTGCAGCCCGTGCAAAGCTTGCACTCACTCACAGCCGCTAACAACAACCAGAGCGGCCACGGAGGAGGCCATCTCACACGCAGCATTCTGAGTGATATTCTTATGGATAAATGGGCGGGTCATTCGGACATGCGTTAATGCGTTTTTAAAAAAATAATGCGTTAATAAAAACTGTAATTAACGTGAGTTAACGCGATAATTTTGACAGCCCATATATATATATATATATATATATATATATATATATATATATATATATATATATATATATTTAAATATATAATATATATAATTATATATGATATCCTGTACACTGCACAGGATGTTTTGACTCCAATGCAGACAAGATTTACATGGGTTTCAATGGGAACTGAGTTGTCCCATCTCTGCTCATAAGTACAAACTGTGATGCGCTGCAGAACGTGTGTCTATACTTTATGTCAAATGTAAACGGCCCTGTGTCACTGACTTACCCCTGTGTTTTCATCACGGCACATGTGAGTCCAACAATCAATGAATAGCACTAGCATATAGCGCCGCACCGCAAGTACACTGAGTCGGGTGCGTTCACAGACGGTGGAAACCGTAGGAATTTTTAGTTTTCGGCGGAAACAGTGCGGAGAATACAGGAGGGAGGAACTTTCTCTCGTTGCGTTTCAAAAGAGAAAACAGATTTCACTCAGTTTTAAATGGAAAACAAATTGTCTGCCGTTCATGACACATAATATGAACTAATTCACGTTCAAGTTCTTTATTAAAAAATGTGTTGCGTTCAGTTCAACGTTCACGAAAAAATGAGCGTGTTCAATGAACGCGTTCTTTTGAACTCGTTCACGCACAACACTGATGAACTGTGCCATACAGATAAACTTGCTCACTAAGGTTACGTTCATGCCTAAGCAATAGATTGATGTGGGTAACATGTGATTGTGACAGAACAAAAACATCAGTAATCATAGACTGGTGATATTTTAAGCATGTATTGAATAATAATGAATAATGTATATTTAGTTTATACAGAACTTTACTGAACTCTTAAAACGCTTCACACATGTCCTTATAAAGTCACTCCACACACAGAGGTGATAAACCACTGAAGCCGCAGCTGCCCTATGACTTAGATAACTGATGGAAAACTAATTCACTTTTTCTCAATGCTCAGAATTTTTTCTTTTCTTTATTATTTTTAACTGTCAGAAAAAGAATCAGTTTAACACAAAAATACAAGCTACACTTCCATAACTAGTGAACCACCCCACCCTCCCTCATCCCCCATTCACACTCACTCACTCTGACTGTATTTTTTAAAGGTTTTGTCTGTTTTAATTGTCCTGTTTGAGGAAATGACCCAGAAAAAAAACGCCTTAAACCAGTATCTCTGTTGAAACAATATGGCCACTTATATCGTGCCTTTGTCTGCGGCATTTTTTCCCAGACTTATTAATTACTATTTTTATTATTACATTTATTTACATTGAAGAACATTTTTTTAAAGATGGACTCCACAAATTGTAAAGTGATTTTGATGGTAGAATAAATTCCTAAACCAGGTCGAGTCCAGGCGGTTTCCACACACGCACAATAAACATGTATGAGAACCGTCAAAATGACTGCTTTGGGAGTTTCTGTAGTTTCAGAATTCTGGAAGTCCTTGTGTTGAAAGACTTTATCCTTCTCTTTGTTGATTTGTACATTTTAGTTGGAAAGTTTGAGATGAAATAACAAACAGACTGATATTACTGCAGTCGGAGCGGGACGACGCTCCAGCGATAATATTTCTTTTCCGTTTCTGCTCCGTGGACAACGACCGGCGCTTCATAAAAGCTGCAGTGATTTATCGGGTTTGTGCTGAAAGGGCGACGTTCCCCCGTGTTTTAAAGAATGCTACGAGGCATTAGCGGTTTCGGAGCAGGTCGCTGTGGGAGAGAACGCTCTGAGACTAACTTCATGTTTCTGCGAATCACAGTCGAAGCTGAAACGGTGAGAGGAGAAATCCAAAGTGCAAAGTTTGAGTGTTGTGTTTGTTCTTCAGGACATTCACCTCCTCCACAAACAAAGTCACAAACTGTCTATCCCGCTGACTCAGGGCAAAGCAGAACAGTGTTTTGCTATAAACATCTATAATGGATCTATTCAAACCTGTATTAAATCGGTAAACTGCAAAAAGTGAGGAAAAATAAATTTAAAAGTGCTCAAATTTGTCAAAATATATCTTCATTTTAGTACATTTTTGCAACCTCAAAACAAGATTTGCCAAAGGGACAAAGCAAAAGGATCTTGGAATTAAAAGATACAAGATATGTCACTGGTCTCTCTCTAGTTTGTCTCTGGTTTGTCTCTGGTCTCTCTCTGGTCTCTCTCTCTGTGGTCTCTCTCTGGTCTCTCTCTCTGGTCTTTCTCTGGTCTCTCTCTGGTCTTTCTCTCTGGTCTTTCTCTCTGGTCTTTCTCTCTGGTCTTTCTCTCTGGTCTTTCTCTCTGGTCTCTCTCTGGTCTCTCTCTGGTCTCTCTCTCTGGTCTCTCTCTGGTCTCTCTCTCTGGTCTCTCTCTGGTCTCTCTCTGGTCTCTCTCTGGTCTCTCTCTGGTCTCTCTCTGGTCTCTCTCTGGTCTCTCTCTGGTCTCTCTCTGGTCTCTCTCTGGTCTCTCTCTGGTCTCTCTCTGGTCTCTCTCTGGTCTCTCTCTGGTCTCTCTCTGGTCTCTCTCTGGTCTCTCTCTGGTCTCTCTCTGGTCTCTCCCTGGTCTCTCCCTGGTCTCTCTCTGGTCTCTCTGGTCTCTCTGGTCTCTCTCTGGTCTCTCTCTGGTCCCTCTCTGGTCTTTCTCTCTGGTCTCTCTCTGGTCCCTCTCTGGTCTTTCTCTCTGGTCTCTCTCTGGTCTCTCTCTGGTCTCTCTCTGGTCTCTCTCTGGTCTCTCTCTGGTCTCTCTCTGGTCTCTCTCTGGTCTCTCTCTGGTCTCTCTCTGGTCTTCCCGTAGCCCTCAGTCCTGCTCCTGCCCCTCAGTCTCCTCTGCAGCTCTATAGATCCATTATTATGACTTTTATTATCATTATTATTCCACACCTCCGCCCCTTATAGACCAATGGCTCCATGTTATTTTACCTTTTTGATTGCCGTTTGATTTTCTGATCTGTTTTGGCGAAATCTACATTTTTGTAAAGTCCTCTGAGAAAACTGCTGTGATTTAGGGCTATACAAGAACACATTGAATTGAATTATCATTACACAGTGAATATACAGTACATGATAAATGACAGTTTAAAGCCTGTTGGCAGAACAGGGTCCGTCCGCTGCAGCAGAACGACACATATTCTCCGGGAGGATTATTTCATCGTTAATCCGTCTAACTCTGTCTGCAGCCTGTAATCTCCGCTGCTTCATGTTTATAATCCAGCCTCCGAGACACGAGCGGGATCAGGGAATCCCAACACTTCCTCTTCTTCAAAGACAGGTTTATTTACACTGAAAAAGCTGCACATTTACTCCCACACAAGTCCAAAGAAGCAAAATACATCCAAAATAATCGTAACGTGTTTTTAAATCAGTTAAATTACTAAATGGTAATTCTCATTTCATTCCACATTAATCCAGTTTTTGTGAGAGCCAGCGAAATAATAATCATAATTTCAAAACCAAATTAAAATTACATTGTAAATAATTTTCATGGAGATTACATACTATCTTTTTGACATATAGCAAAATGATTAAATATATATATTTTTAGTACAGAAATGTTGACCCCACCACTGACTCAGCTTCAAACTCACACTCAGGCAGATGACTGGTAATGTTTTTGTTATGGAATACTAATAATGTATAATTATTCTTTCGACTAGAATTCAAACAGAAAAGAATATCAAAACGCATGTCAATTAAAATCAATTGGTTAAAATTCTGTCATTATGTTAAAAAAAAAAAAAAATATATATATATATATATATATATATATATATATAATAAGAGATAACTACTTTTCGGATTTGGGCATCTGTTTGGGACTCCTGGACTAGGGGAAGACCCAGGACATGTTGGAGGGACTGTGTCTCTCTCTGGCCTGGGAACGCCTCAGGATTCCCCCGGATGATCCGCAGGAAGTGTGTGTGGAGAGAGATTAAGAGATTCTTTTATTCGTCCCACGGTGGGGAAATTTCAGTGTTGCATCACAAGTTACAGAACAGTAGGAATGAGGCGCACACAGCACAAGATAAGACAACAATAGCTATACTAATTAAAATAAAACAACATTTCTAACTCTAGCATAGCCTGGGCGTCTCTGGGCGTCGCTGCTCAGACTGCTGCCTTCGGGACCGGATAAAGCGAAAGAAAATAGAGGGATGAAAAACTCCTTCAATACTTTCTGTCCTCGACCAGAATGAGTTTGACAGCCTTGTTCTGAAGCAGGCGTCTCCAACCTTTTCACCCAGAGAGCTACTTTCCCGGGATGATAAAGGCAGAGAGCTACTTCTTTAAGCAAACCCTGATGTGTTGGTGTGAACGAGCCTGATATTGGGTAAAGTCATTATTTATAATCGCACATTTGTTACTAGTGACAAACTAAGTGCATTTACAACAATAGATAATGAGAATGAATAATACAATCTGAAATATGAAGTTTATTATTTGATTTCTTCATTTCTAAATCCCTTGGCGAGCTACTAGAAAGGGGTTTGGCGAGCTACTGGTGGCTCCTGAGCTACAGGTTGGAGACCCGTGTTCAAAAGAGTCCTAATGTCTACATCTGTATCTCCTGGTTTGTCACATGGAAAGCCTTGGACAGAATGCAGTTGGAGACAGCGGCTGGAGTCACACGCTGCAGACGGAGGCGGCTGAGGACATAAACACTATTTATCATAAAACAGAGAAGCCATACATCAAACACCGCCTCAGGTCTGTGCGGGACCATAAATAAGACCAGAATTCAAAGTAGAGATGGACGAAAGCAAACATGAGGCAGACTGAGCGGCTGCAGGAGGAGAGGGAGCGAGAAAACACTGTCGGTGCCGCTCACAGAACATTTACTGACTTTAGTATTTGATCAGGAAATGTATAGAGCTCAAAACAGTAAACGGCAGAAACATCTCATGGTTCAGACGTGGAATTCACATTTTCCTCAATAGCTAATAATGGTGAGGGAAAAAAATCGATTCTGTTCAGTCCGTCCGTCCGTTTTCCTCCGCTTTATCCGTTGCCGGGTCGCGGGGGCAGCAGTCTAAGCAGAGACGCCCAGACTTCCCTATCCACACACACTTCCTCCAGCTCGTCCGGGGGGACCCCAAGGCGTTCCCAGGCCAGCTGAGAGACATAGTCTCTCCAGCGTGTCCTGGGTCTTCCCCGGGGCCTCCTCCCGGTGGGACGTGCCCGGAACACCTCCCCAGGGAGGCGTCCAGGAGGCATCCTGAACAGATGCCCGAGCCACCTCAACTGGTTCCTCTCGACGTGGAGTAGCAGCGGCTCTACTCCGAGCTCCTCCCGTGTGACTGAGCTCCTCACCCTATCTCTAAGGGAGCGCCCAGCCACTCTGCGGAGGAAGCTCATTTCGACCGCTTGTATCCGCGATCTCGTTCTTTCGGTCATTACCCAAAGCTCATGACCATAGGTGAGGGAGGGAACGAAGATTGACCGGTAAATCAAGAGCTTCGCCTTTCGGCTCAGCTCCCTCTTTACCACAACGGTCCGATACAGCTCTGACTGCAGACGCTGCTCCCTCTTTACCACAACGGTCCAATACAGCTCTGACTGCAGACGCTGCTCCCTCTTTACCACAACGGTCCAATACAGCTCTGACTGCAGACGCTGCTCCCTCTTTACCACAACGGTCCAATACAGCTCTGACTGCAGACGCTGCTCCCTCTTTACCACAACGGTCCAATACAGCTCTGACTGCAGACGCTGCTCCCTCTTTACCACAACGGTCCAATACAGCTCTGACTGCAGACGCTGCTCCCTCTTTACCACAACGGTCCGATACAGCGACCGCATCACTGCGCACGCTGCACCGATCCGCCCGTCAATCTCACGCTCCATCCTTCCCTCACTCGATTCTGTTCAGTATCGCGATATTTTGCGCTCATAATTAAATCGAGACAGTATGAGCAAAGTGCTACAATATTTCATTAAATCCTTTTCCGTTTCACGTTTGTGTTTTCTCAAAATTTACTCTGGTATTTTACATCTGAGGTTTATGTTCATCTCTATGTGTATGACATTTGACTTGAGTCTGATTTTCCTCCATTGATGTAACTTCTTTGAATAATATGATGGACATGAATCGCAATTTATCGCAGAATCGAATCACAATACTTGATGTATCGCGATATGTTAAGAATCCAAATAACATTGAATTGTGGTCCATCGGATTGTCAATTTTTTGCCAATTCCCAGCCCTAACAGCTGCAGTGTTTTACATTGAAATGAAATGTAGAGAATGGGTTAAAAATCGCCGTACTGAGAGCTTTGGCTGAACCTCTGTAATTGACCAATCAATCGTCAGGACCTGTCGTTAGCAGGTTTGGTTCGCTCTCTCAACGGCTCCTATGTGTTTGTTATGATTGTTCTTCCAGTGTTAAAACTGATTGATTCTCTGATCTGTTGCTGGTGAATCAACAACTTTGTAAAGTCCTCAGAGACGACTGCAGCTGTGATTCAGAACGATCCACAAATACATTGAATTGAAAGTACCTACATAACAACAGTGAGTCTTCAAATCAATAATACATGGACAGGAGATATTGGTGATTTCAGGAAACTGCAATTGACAATTTACAAAACAATATTCATACCCGCCCATAGAGACACTGTATAAACGTGACTAGCATGAGACAAAAAGCCTAAAATAACGCATGTTTATAGATCCTCCGGTCCTGCTCTGTCATTTACTGTGGAAAAAGGCAACAGTGTGCACTATGGGAGCTATTTTGGACATGTTGAGGTTGCTTAGAAAACTAAATGTGTTCTTCTCTTCTCCCCAATGCAGCGACTTTCATGTTTGAAAGACGCAGACGAAAAGATGGAGAGAGAGACGTTTTACAGTGAATGATCCTGAAGCTGCTGCAGTGTGAAGCTGTGAGATTAGTGTGGTGTGCGGCTCACCGAACCTGCTGAGGGAACGGTAAAACTGCAGCCGCAACACGATCGCTCCGGCTGCAGAGGACCCTACTGCAGCGGGGGATAGCACGGAGTTTAGGAAAAAGGTCAGGAGAGGTTATTTGTATAGCACAGTCCATACATAAGGCAATTCAAGGTGCGTAAAAAACAAGAAAGGGACATAAAAAGGTATTGAAATAGGTAATTCTTCACTTGTATGGACGGGTAAACAGCAGGAGGCTAGTCCCTGTGCTCCTCAGAATCCCAGCAGGAGGCCAGTCCCTGTGCTCCTCAGAGTCCCAGCAGGAGGCCAGTCCCTGTGCTCCTCAGAGTTCCAGCAGGAGGCCAGTCCCTGTGCTCCTCAGAGTCCCAGCAGGAGGCCAGTCCCTGTGCTCCTATGAGTCCCAGCAGGAGGCCAGTCCCTGTGCTCCTTTGAGTCCCAGCAGGAGGCCAGTCCCTGTGCTCCTCAGAGTCCCAGCAGGAGGCCAGTCCCTGTGCTCTTCAGAGTCCCAGCAGTAGGCCAGTCCCTGTGCTCTTCAGAGTCCCAGCAGGAGGCCAGTCCCTGTGCTCCTCTGAGTCCCAGCAGAAGGCCAGTCCCTGTGCTCCCCAGAGTCCCAGCAGGAGGCCAGTCCCTGTGCTCCCCAGAGTCCCAGCAGGAGGCCAGTCCCTGTGCTCCTCAGAGTCCCAGCAGGAGGCCAGTCCCTGTGCTGGTCTGTGGCCTACTGTATTTTTCATATGTCTCCTACTGTGTTGTCTTTACAAAGCCAGATCCCGTAAGAACTCTGAAGCTAAGCTGAGCAGGGCCTGGTTAGTACTGTGATGGGAGACTTCTGGGAACACCCACATTAGAATGAGTCTGGTGTGTGTGTGAGCGGTTGGTGGTGGTGGGAGGGGCCTTTTGCGTCCTGGTTGCCTCGCTTCTGTCAGTGTGCCCCAGGGCACCTGTGGCTAGAATAGTAGTTTTTTCACCACCGTGAATGGAGTGGAGGAATAATGACATGTGAAGCGTATTTGAGCGTCCCAAAAAAGCGCTGTAAAAAAGTAATGCTTTTTAACAAACCAGAGCGAGTCCTGACGGCGAGTGAAGTGTGGAGCAGCAGCACTGACCCTGAACGATCGTGAAGGAGGCCATCTGTCTGTGTCCTCCTCCTTTGTCTGTTTATCTGCTCCTCCACAGAGAGAGAGAGAGGGAGAGGGAGAGAGAGAGAGAGAGACAGAGAGAGACAGAGAGAGAGAGGGAGAGAGAGAGAGAGGGAGAGAGAGGGAGAGAGACAGAGAGAGCGAGAGAGAGAGAGAGAAGCTGAAGAGCCGGCTCAGCACTCTACTGCAGCAGAGAGACCACTGCAGACCAGAGACCACTGCAGACCAGAGACCACTGCAGACTAGAGACCACTGCAGATCAGAGACCAGTGCGGACCAGAAACCAGTGCGGACCAGAGACCACTGCAGACCAGGGACCAGTGCGGACCAGAGACCAGTGTGGACCAGAGACCACTGCAGACCAGAGACCACTGCAGACCAGAGACCACTTCAGACCAGAGACCACTGCAGACCAAAGACCAGTGCGGACCAGAGACCACTGCAGACCAGAGACCAGTGCGGACCAGAGACCAGTGCGGACCAGAGACCAGTGCAGACCAGAGACCAGTGCGGACCAGAGACCACTGCAGACCAGAGACCACAGAGACCAGAGACCAGTGCAGACCAGGGAGGACACTCACAGGACCTGTCTGTGTGGAGTTTGCATGTTCTCCTCATGTCTGCTCAAGTTTACCTCCAGGTGCTCCGGTATCCCCCACCACTAAAATCTTGTACAAGCCCAGTTCTAGTTCACTCCTTGTTTATTCCTGGTTCAGTCCTGGTCCAGTCTTGGTCCCATTCCGGTCCAGTACTGGTCTAATCCTGGTTCAGTCCTGGTCCATGTTGGAGGTTCATGTGTGACCTCAGTCTTGGATCATCCGTTTGAAGGACAGGTGGCAATGATGTCATCGTTCATTGGGCTTTGTTCGGTCCTGGTTTAGTCCTGGTTCACTCCTGGTTTAGTCATGGTTCACTCCTGGTTTAGTCATGGTTCACTCCTGGTTTAGTCCTGGTTCACTCCTGGTTTAGTCCTGGTCTAGTCCTGGTTCAGTCCGTGTTTAATCCTGGGTTAGTCATGGTTCAATCCTGGTTCAATCCTGGTCCAGCTCTCGTTCTGTCCTTGTGCGGTCCTGGTCTGGCCCAGTCCTGGCCCAGTCCTGGCTCAGCCCTGGCCCAGTCCTGGCTCAGTCCTGGCTCAGTCCTGGCCCAGTCCTGGCTCAGTCCTGGCTCAGTCCTGGCCCAGTCCTGGCTCAGTCCTGGCTCAGTCCTGGCTCAGTCCTGGCTCAGTCCTGGCTCAGCCCTGGCTCAGTCCTGGTCTTGTACACCATATGACCTCAGGTTTGTCTACAGCTGTGTGGTGCAGGTGTGAATGACATCATCAGCTCTACACAGGGGAATACAGAAAGCAAAAAGACGAAAGCAGGACACTCTCAAAACCATCAGTCCTGGTCCAGCCCTGGTCCTTTCCTGGTTCAGTCCTGGTCCAGTCCTGGTCCAGTCCAGAGAGATTCTCTACTGGACACTATCAAAACCATCAGTGCCTGTTTATCTCCATGCATTTTTAAACACATCTTTTAGCCCACGCTTTCAGATTTGCCAGAAGATACACACACACACACACACACACATATAGACACACACACACACACACATATAGACACACACACACACACCCACCCACACACACACACACACACACACACACACACACACACACACACACACACTGCTGCTGTTATTGAGTGCTATAAATCTCACAGAAAACAAAACGGAGCTCAGAGGCGGACACTAATCTGAAGGCAGCAAAGACCGGGACATTGCAGTGGATTTTCAAATGAAATTTAAAGCTTAAATAAATGTGGATAAAAATGTGTATTAAATGCATATAAGTCAGTAAGAAAACATGTTGGAGAATTGTAAAAAAAAAATATATATATAATAAAACCCTCATTCTCTCAGTGCTTTGGATTATTTATTGCTGAAGGATTAGCTGCAGTTGTGTGTGAATAAATTAAACTCATGATAAAAACTATTCACAGAAATATATAAATAATAGCTGATTTCGATTTAAAAAAATTCTGTAAAATAAGTATATACCTATTTTATTATTATTATTATTATTTATCGATCACTCTCTATTATCTTAATGCTCTGTATTTTCTTCTGTACAAACTATGAAAACAATAAAAAATCTTAAATCATAAATATACATGAGCAGGGGGTGGGGGAGCACATACGTTTTCTTCTTCCAACTCCTTTTTGACCCAAACCCTTTTTTAATAATAATATATGTTGAATATGTTCTGTTTGGTTTTGTTCTTCGTTATTCTCCTGTGGTCCATGTGAGGCGCTGAATGATATATTTGTCTGGTAGTATTTTAATCAAATCTAATCAATTATGAATATGGCTTTTGTTTTATATCCCCAACCCTAAAATCAGCTCCAACCGTGATGGATTCAAAGCCGAGTTTCCTTCCCTGGCCTCCAACACCACCATCCACCACTATTATGGAAACAGCAGGACGCAGACACAGCCCCACGCCGATGGGAACAAGTCTGAGAGTCCCAGATTCTCCCTTTTCCAGAGGGTACTTGAATGTCACACGGATTATAAAAGCGTTATAAAGGCCCCAGACATCAATCGATCTAATATGCTCGTCCTTATTCAGTTATGCAAATAAGAAAGGCCGAGGAAACAGCACTAAAAGCTGCTGTAATGGGATTATGGCCTCTCTCATGTGAAAAACAAAATAATTCGCCTTGAAAGAGATTTTGTGCATTCAATTTGCAATGCAACAATAGAACATATTTATACAGTTCATGTTTTAGTATAGACAAGTCAGAGTGACACAAAGCATTCTGCTGAAATAGCATCAATAATAAATACTAATAAAATAAAACCTGTTTGGACTAATAATGTGCCAACAGTGTAAACATCATACTTATTTCTGCGTGAACAACATTCAATTTAGTTCATTTTTATAGTATTAAATCAAAACAGCTGTCATCTCAGAGGAGGTTACAAAGTTCAGAGAATCAAGCTTTTTCTAAGGCTCATCTAAAGCCTCAGTTCTGGATCTACAACCCTTAGTCCTGGATCTACAGCCTCAGTCCTGAATCTACAGCCTCAGTCCTGGGTCTACAGCCTCAGTCCTGGATCTACAGCCTCAGTCCTGGATCTACAGCCTCAGTCCTGGGTCTACAGCCTCAGTCCTGGATCTACAGCCTCAGTCCTGGGTCTACAGCCTCAGTCCTGGACCTACAGCCTCAGTCCTGGATCTACAGCCTCAGTCCTGGATCTAAAGCCTCAGTCCTGGATCTACAGCCTCAGTCCTGGATCTACAGCCTCAGTCCTGGATCTACATGCAGCCTCAGTCCTGGGTCTACAGCCTCAGTCCTTGATCTAAAGCCTCAGTCCTGGATCTACAGCCTCAGTCCTTGATCTAAAGCCTCAGTCCTGGATCTACAGCATCAGTCCTGGATCTACAGCCTCAGTCCTGGATCTACAGCCTCAGCCCTGGATCTACAGCCTCATTCCTGGATCTACAGCCTCATTCCTGGATCTAGAGTCTTGGTCCTGGATCTACAGAAAATGTAGTAGAATTTTCTTTCAATACGAACCGAAGCAGTTCAAAGATTGTCACAGAACAAAACACCCAGACCTCAGACATCTATAAAAACCCGCGTCTCATTTCCGAACTAAACAAAAGTGAGGGTCCCACTTACTTGGCACTTGGCACTTGAGCGCTTGCGTCTGGACCTGGCAGTTGCACGCGTCGCACCAGTCCTGTCTCACGGCTTTGGCCTCAAACCGGTGCCCTTCTCCGCGGGAGCCCTCACCGGTGGACGCGGGGAAGATGGTCCAAGCCTGCCTCCTGTGTGGCTCCGTGCGCGCCAGCTTCACCACTCCAGTTTTCCCCTGCGTAAGCCGCTCTAAAATTGGTATACTACTATTATTACTACTTCCACTTATACCTCTGTGGCTGCTCTGAGAATGCCCGTTTGCAGTGACGGTCTGCGGGGAGGATTTCCTACACGCTCCCCTGGTCTCGCTGGTGCCATGTCCATTCGCGACTATTACTTCCATGGGTCGCTTCAATAACGCGTGATTATTGGAGATGATTTGGCGTGCGTTGTCTTCCAGTCTACCCGGCGTGACTGCTGTAGACTGTGGCGGCGATTTGGCACCGGGATCCCCGACTGAGCTGCGTCTGAATACCATCTTCTCCCACGACGTCTTGCGCGCGAGTAATGATTTCTTGACGCCGAAATGCAGCTGTGGTTCCTGGGTTAAGGCGTGGGGCTGGGGCGGCTGTCCCACCAGGCTCACGGAGGCCATGGTCATCGTGCGTAAAGATGATGAAGAGAGAGGGGAGAGAGAGGGGAGAGAGCGTGTCTGTGTTTAGAAGGCTTGTGTTGGTTTGTGCGCCCTCGTGGTGTGGATGTGGGAGTGACGCGTCTGACGCAGAGGTTTGTGTGGGCGCGTGGATGGAGCGACACGGGAGCGCGCTTTAATCCGCTTCTTTTGTGCGCGCTTTGTACTGTAAAGAACTGTAAGGAACTGTAAAGAACTGTAAGGACACATTCAAATGTAGGACACTGGCTTGGAGCGATATTTGTGCCAATATTCTGAGAGAGAATGATAAAGAATTCTTGAATAGTGGGAAATATCATAAATAATAACAGTACATTCGTGCACAGCTGAACAGAACTTTTTTAACCTGGATTTGAACTGTGTCAGACAAGAAACCTATTCCTTGTTGTGCTCGCCTGTGTGTGTGATTTATCTCTATAACCTTTTTTCTTTTAGCCTTTGTTTTAGCTGCTTATTATTGTTTTATTTCATAATGTAATTTTAATGTCAAAATAATCTTTAATATCTTCACAAAACGTGTGTGTCTCTAACATCATGAAGAAGATGACAAAGTCTGGGAACGTGTCTGTAATTCAGACAGAAGACATGTTTTATTGTCGTTGGTAGAGACAGCACGAACACGAACGAAGATTTTACAAACTGAAAGTGATAATACACAGCAGGTGGAACGGAGACTCTCAGCAGCTGCCCCGGTGCCAGCAGCTTCAACCTTGAGATAACCAAAACAATGGAAAAGTACTGCCTTGTGCATATTGTTTGAAAGATGAGTTTAACTTTAGCCACAGTTGCTTCAAAGTGTCATCAAAGACCTAAAATAATTGGTTGATTTTTTCCTTTTAAACTAATTTTGCTCATTAAATGTAAAAAGGTTCATGATGTCTTCTTAGGAGGTTATTTTAATCAGACAAAAAGGCAAAGAAGCTAGTACTGATTAATTACCTGAGATTTCTGGGCTTTCATCCTGGCTCACACTTGGGACTCACTTCTCCAGAGAGGCCCCCCTCCGCCTGGGCAGAATGAGCGAGACAGGCCCAGTCCCAATACCCACACTGCACCCTACGCCCTCCTATGAAGTGTGCATTTGTTTGAAGTGCGCGCAAGGGTTTGAGTGCGCAGGTTGCAAGTGTGCACAAAAGGTGGAATTGGGACAGTGCACACTGAGTGCAGGTTACGTCATCGACTCGTCAAGAGAGGGTCATTTTCAGACCTAAACTTTATACAAATTAAAGGTAATTTTGTCTGATCCTTTGGGAAACTAAATGAATTGCTTCACACACGTTAAAATACATGTATATTAGTGGTTTCTAATTAGAGATAGCTGTATAATTTTAAGTTAAATGTGGGTAACTAACTTATCTGGTCAGTTTTTATACATTCTAAGATTATTGTACTAAGTGTAAAGTTTAAATTGAATGTTATATAAACGCTTGGTTTAAAAAGTTATTAAATTGTTAAAACACAATGTCCGTAATTCTTCATCAGACGTTTATGCTTCTTTCCAAGTAACATTGCAAAACTTATTTACACACATACTGCATATATATTTCAAAATGTATATTTAAATGCATTTTCCCGACGTTTTGGTGTGTACCGCAAAGAATTATGGGCAATATCCTTCGCCAGAGTGCGCATAGATGCAGGCTACGGCGAAGTGTGGATCAGGGGCGCGAAGGGGGCGGGGCCAAAGACCTCCCTGGAGAATTGGGACACCCTACGCACTCGCACCCTTTATCGGGAACGCGCAAATGAGGGGCGCGAGGGTGGAAGTGCGAGTATTGGGACGGGGCCTGTGAGTGCACTGCATCCGGTAAGACCCGCTGATGAGAGACACGTCACACCTACACGTGCAACGAGGACTTAGAAAGAGGAACAACAGGTTTACTGGGTATCTTTACTCTCAGATCTTCATCATTCTCTCTCATAATATCGGCACAAATATCGCTCCATACAATACCAGCTTACAGCAAATGCAAAAATCCGTTATAATAAAATATGGTGTGCTTACAATAATAACACAAGAACAGGGGAATTTCACATTTTATTAAAACAACTGCCCACATTGATAAATCATTGTCTACCCTCACACCAAAGAACCTGCACACCCAGGGTTTCATACTTCAGTGAACGCAGACTCTGGGAGCATTTACTTTCTTTGGAGAATGCAGCTTGTGCGGTTTGTAAACAGGTGCGGTTAATAGTCCAGAAAGTACGGAATATGTGCATCATTCAGTTTTCACTTCAGTCTGTGTGATCTCTGCCTGTGCAAAGCCAAAACCTGTGGTGAGGGGGTGAGGGAGAGATGAGGGTTGGTTTCTTTTCCATTTGATCAAAAGCTCGTCACATGAGAAACCCACAGAGAAGGGCCCACGGTGCAAACAGCTCGCAGCCGCACTTGTTAGAATAAAAATATTAGGATTTTTGGATTCCAGTGATTCCCAAGTGGTTTTTATATGAGTATGGTTGGTGCATTTTCAGACACTTTCTATTTAGACTTGTCTCAGAATGAAAGTAAAAGAAAGAGGATGTGCTGCGTCATGGCTTCTCTGGGGTTTCCCATCCCACGTGTTATTGTCATCAAACAGTCTTTCTGCCGTTTGGGTGTTTTTGGGGGCGTTTACTGAAGAGAAGACATTTAGTCGATTCCAACATCGTCATAAATATTAGAAGGCAGTTACATTCAACTGTCTGTAACATTATCAATATTAATAAGTAGAAAGCATGTCCATCGCCTCCACACAGGTGCCAAAGGTGCGGACTGCGGCTGTGCAGTGGGATACAATGCCTCAGTAAGACTCTCAGCTCGGGCTGGGCGAGGACTGAAAACTATATCACAATACACTCTAAGTGATTCATATTGGCCCACGTCGATAATTATTGATTGTTGTTTTTTTTTTTACCTAAATAAATACATTTGTCTTGTCGGCACTTGTCTACAGTCACTGGAGAATGAAGCACTGTGTCCCTCATTGTCGGTTTAATAATAATAATAATAATAATGCATCGGTTGAGTGCCTTTTTGGACACTCAAAGACGCTTCACATCTCATTATTCATTCACTCCATACACAGTGGTGATAAACTGTAGCCACAGCTGCCCTGGGGCACACTAACAGAAGCATCGGCCCCTCCGACCACCACCAACCATTCACACACACACCAGACAGGCTATGGGGGTGAAGTGTCTTGCCCAAGGACACAACAGCAGTTTGGTACTTTACAGCCGCAGCCGCCCCACTGTGGCACCTGGTGTTCACAGAGGTTCTACCAACTGAGCTCCTGTCTTAGCTGTTTTGGAGTGCTTTGTGTCCCTGTGGCGTCTCCGTGCGGCTCTCCGATGGCCAAGAGCACAAGAAAATGGACGAATGATATCTTCTTGATACTGATAACCTACATTCATGGGGTTTGATCTTTGAACCATCAGATCTATTGACTCTCACCTTTGATATTCTATACTAGATTTATTTCAGATCTATCTACAGATGTATAAATACCAATGTATATATCTTCTTTATTAAGATAAAAATACATTATATATTTTTTTAAAGAATAGATTTGCGCCATACTTAAAGGTGCATTGCGTAAGTTGAAAAATGCCAAAACGCAATATTTTGCATCTGTGGTCCATCAGCAGTTGCCTGGTGTGTAAACTGAGCATTAGCAGATTCACTGTGGTTGCTTCTGTGAGCGCATACAGTGAATGAGAAATCCCTAACTCGGGTCGCTTTCTCGCACGCTGTTTAAGCGGAAGTGACGCAATGCGCGTGCCCGTTCACTGTTTTGGCTCCATATGTTCCCTCGCGTTCAGTGGATCTGTCCCGTCCTCGTATCACGCGTATTTGAAGATGGATCCAGCAGTTTCTTCTAAGAGACCAGCTTCAGAATCACCGTCTGGAAGATTGTCACCAGTGCTACGAAAAGAACGAAGCGAGAGGCCGACCGGCGGAGAGCTCAGACCCGAGTCGCTCTCGGCCATGCGTTTGAGAAATGGAGAAGTCTCCGAAACGCTCTGGGGATAAAAATGGATCCTCATTTGGCGTTTATCTTGATTAGAAGGTAAGACGGTGACTCAGTTCTAAACGTCCTAGTGTCTTGCACGAATACGAAGTGATATAGCATTATTATGTGTTAGCTTTTTGACTTAGCAACATGGACTGATTCCATTTGGTTCGGTTTTTTTTCTAAACAGATTGGCGAGACACATTCAGCATTTTGTTTGTTCTGTATAAAGAATGTTTAGAAATAATGACTGTTACGTTGATTAGAGCTTTTGTGTACATTATTGGGCTGCTACTGTGCATGTAAACCATTATGAAACTTGCAGATGCAGTGATTATGTACCTCAGTACCTGTACTATATGTATCGTAGAATTGCAGACTATATTAGTAATATAATGTGGTTAGTCCAACTGTAATACAATGAGACGCATGTGTGTATAGGTAACGTGTATTTATTTACTTTACAACTATGAAAAAATTATGGCATCAAGGAGTCCCAAGGCCTCAACTCCTAAAACCACTACTGCGACTGGTGATCTCCCGAGTTCAATCAGTCTCGTAGAATCTGACCGGTACTTTTTTGACAGAAAAATAGGATTGGCATTATGTTTGATTCAAGCCTTATTGACAATATCACTGAAACAAACTGGCATTTTTTAACAGGGATGACGTATCTGTGGCAGGGGTGCAGCCTTTTATAGAGGTAAGTAATGTGTTAAAGGACTCTCTTTGTCATATTTGCAGTCACTATAAGTACTATATCTGTTACAGCTGACGGGAGAATGGACTCACCAGGTAAGTCTGAAGCCTTTCACTTTACAACATAGTTATTGTGTATTACTTTGTGTTTCACCATATTTGATTCAACAAGGTCATTCTGCAACGTTTTGCACATACACAACAATGGAACTTGACACAATGGACATTATCAGTGTTGTCAATGTTGATAAAAGGCAAGTTGGTGGGAAAAGTGTC